CGAAACCAACAAAGATAGGTGTTTTATTTAAAGTAAAAACTATATTATAAACTTCTTTTTCTGGTTGTGATGTGAGACTGACAGAATTTGCAAACATTAGTTACAATGTTTATTTCCACTGTCTTACAAGAGTGTCACTGTATGACATTTGTTAAACTTTGTAGCTGAATATTAAGTCATTGTTAAATAGACATTAATATTAGCTGTGTAATAATTTTATTGCAGCAACTGAGTTACACTAAGCCAGCTAGTTAACCAAACAAATGAAGTTTGTAGACTTTATAGGACCACTCTTCTCTTAACCCCTTAAATGGCCAAGGCCCACCAGCGAGTCCAAAAATACATGAATTTCACATGCAAATAAACGCATACGGTCATTAGACACTTCACATTATAACTTCTATAACCTAAGAATAGCTCAGTCAGTTTGCGCTGAAGTCCCTATAGTTACTGAATAATGAGCCTTAGTCTGCGATACGCCTGAGGTTTTAAGGGGTTAATGTATGGTTTCATTACTTTTGATCAGGGGTTGTTTTTGAGTGTAAAATGTTGGTCATAAGCTTTATGGTGTGTCTTTTCTCATCATCTCTTTACAGGTAGGAACAAACATGCCAGAAGATCTGTATCAAGCTGAAAAGAAGCTTTCTGAGTGTATGTATGATGCCTGATAGTCACTGACACAATTGCTTCCAATACGAATGAAAACAACATAAAAACTGCATTTCATAATAATTTAATTCATCAAATATGTTACAGCCCTTACGTTGCTTGAGATGTAATGAAGGGTTAAGACATGATTCTTTATAGAAGCAGAAGATAGAAATTTTAATAATAATAATTTTATTTGAATGTACCTTTCCAGACCTCAAGTACATATTCAACAGAGTATGTACAAATCAGACTATAGAAGTGCAGCACTATAAATATTACCTATAATACAAAGACATAAAAAATGACTCCAACAGTTGATAAATTCGACTCCCAGTTTTGTAAAAAGAAGACAAAAGAAAAGCAAGTTAAAATAGAACGTATGGATATAAGAATAAGACTAGAGGAATAAAGGACTGGAAGCAGGAGGTAAATAGCATCTTGAGATTACAGAAAGATGAAAATAGGTAGTGTGAATGAGGAATTTAATGTGGTACTCTATCCAAGGAGAGACACTTGAGACAATGTACTGCCCAGGATGACACCAAGGCTCTTGAACACCAAGGCTCTTGACTTGTGATGAAGGGCAAAGAAAAAATGATGGAAAATTAAAGGATGGAAAACTGTACATTACATTGTAGTAGTTCAATAAGGAGTGTTCAGTGCATGGAACTGACATCCTGTGAACCTCAAACACTTTTGTCTCCTCCTTCAAGCACAAATCCTGCACACGCAAAAGAAGTCGGCAACATGGGCCGATTTCAAAATCCTGAACTGTTACGTAATATTCTTGACTCAATAATATTTACACCCCCAGAATTTACATACACTAGCACACATTCTAGCTCAGCAGGATTGTGAAGAATTAAACAAACACAATGGAGCAACAGCAATGAAAATGGCAGATTGCATGCAGAAATGTACCTGGAGGCTGTGAAGGGGATGTCAGCACTTTCCATGTCCATCAATGAACTGTCAACAGGCATGGGTGATGTTCAACTTTAAATAAAGCTGAAGTTGTCTTCATGTTTGCCAGCTTCTTAACAGAATGTTCCGTTCCACCTTAAATGCTACAGCTTATACAGGCACCAGAATATATAGTGCCACAACGGAACGGCTGCACCATTTAAGGTGGAACGGGAAATTCACAAAACAAGCTGGTGAATAGGAAGCCAACTTTAGTTCCCACATCTTTAACAAGACAATTTTAATTCAAAGTTGTTAGTTTGCTCTGCACATTTCATTCCAGACAAGTTTCTCAAACCTTGGACAATATCAAGCAGGCTTCACGCAGCACTGGACCCTGGAGAGAAGGGCAGTTCCAACTTTATTAGCGTCAAAACCCCCAACAGCAACCTGTAAATAGCTAGCCATGCTGTATGATTGTGGGCTATCCACCTTCTGATGGATGAAGCCAGATCATCTTAAATTGAATGTTTCATAGTGAGCTAACAACTTTAACTTTTTTTGTCGAGATCAAAAGCGATTAGCTAGTATAGGTAATGTTAACTA